TTTCCGTTAAACGTTCCCCAGGCCAACAGCCTCCAGTCAGGTCCCTTTTGACCACTATAAAGTTTCCTACTTCTCTGCCTGCCTTGGAGTCTCTGCCAAAATGCAAATAATGGTGGCTGACTCCTTTGTTAAAGCCATTTGTGAATAATCTTTGCTCTTTTCATTTGGTTGATCTTCATGTATTTTCACATAACTAAGCTTTATATAAATTAAAACCCAAGAGGCTAACATTTAATTAATGGCATTAAGATCTTCTGTATCTGATAATATCATACATTATATTAGGTTTGATATTTCTATTGAATATAGATTTAGTAAATTACTGAAAATGCTAAAAATTCATCAAATAGATATGTAAACACAAATAAGGAAAATGTAAACAGAGATTCTAGAAAAGGGTAATATATTCAGGAATAAATATTCCAGATATTTTAAGTTGGAGATACTGTCTGTTGGTACTAAATCAGTTTTCCCCTGTTTTGTGCTTTTTTCCATATCACTTGGGGTTGAAGCCTGGACACCACTTCTTCCAGGGTCCCTTTCTTAGGAAGACACTCACTTGCAATTAGAAGAGAGTGGAAAATTGCTGTCATTCTGCTTCTGACAGCAAGTAGCAGCAGCTGCTAGGAGTGTGGGTCTGTTTAGTACTATTTAATGCCAGTAGTAGCTTCCTGTAGTTCCTGATCTTTGGAAGCACAATTTTGGTTTTTCTGTCTGCTGGGACAATTTAGACTCACCAATTAACCTAACATGCACGTCTTTGGGATGTGGGACAAAACTAAAGTACACAAAGAAAACCTATGCGGACGTAGGGAGAACACACAAACTCCGCATGGACAGTGGCCCTGGCCAGGAATCTATTTATTTTCTCACCAACATTGTAACAAAACAACGTTGAACAAAGCAATGCTATCGGAGGACCCTCTGTGTTTCTCACGGTTCTGGAGGCTGGGAAGTCAAACAGCAAGGTGTTGACAGGTTCGATTCCTGGTGAACTTAGAACTGAAGACTCTCTGGCAGGGGCGCCTTGTGGCTGTAGGCTGGGTGTAGGAATTCAGGCTCCCCACTAGGCCTCCATTTACAGAATCCTGACTGGGAGGGAGAGGGTCTTATCGGTGCTCCAACGTGGACTCTACTGACCCCAGGAGAATAGGAGTGCCTCCTTACACCTGGGCAGTGGTGAAAGCCCCAGCTTTCTGCTTGGCCTCCTCTGACAGCACCTTGGCAAAGTGGGTGAGGAGTGCTTCCTTCCAACAGGGCAGGTGGAAGTCCAGGCTGTTCGCATGGGCTTCACTATGCCCACAATGTGGGCAACACCACAATGTGGAGGTGGCTGATTACGGATGGGCAGTGGTGAAAGTCCTAAATCCCCAGGTGGCTTCCTCTGACGTAAGCCTGATGGGTCCAGGAGGTATCTCATTATCACCAGGCAATGGGATAAGACAAAGCTCCTCACTCAGCGTTTGCTGACTGAGGCGGGTTGGGAGCCACTGATTTTTCTGTATTTGACTGGAGTAGTGCGTTTACTATCGGTTATCTGCCTGGTAGGTTGCTCTTTCTCATTCCCTTGGATAGAGAAACATGCTTTCCTTAGGATATTTTTGTCTGTGACTACTGATGTTTCCTGTTTTCCAGTTTCTCCAGCACTCATTTCTGGATATATTAGGCAGAAAGAAAACCCACGGAACTCACCACTCCGTCATTCCCCAATCCCGTGGTCTGAGGCCAACCTGCTTCTCCTCTCTGTCATTCAAGGGCTTCTTACGTCTGTCTATAGCTGTACTTAGTAGGAAGAATAGGAAGAATTGCACCTACTCCATCTTGTCTTGGAACCAGAAATTTCTCAACATATTTTTAAAAATATGTCTTTGGCATATATTAAAATGTTGTACATCTATCCTTAGATCCTTAAATAAACATATCGTCTATCCTTAGATGATATGTGTATTTAATGTAAGTTAATTTGCTTACAAAAATAAAAGACTAAAACTATCAAATATGTTAAAGCCATAAAAAAAAGCAGATTTTTTTCCCCCAAATATGGGAAATGTGTGTGTGTGTATGTGTATCTCCTATGTACACACATATACCATGTAACATATAGACATGTAAAAAAAAGACATAAAATGAAAATTGTCTGTGTATCAACACCTGGGGGCAGGGAGTATTCTCAGGTTTAACTAAATACTCATATTCAAGTTTTTACCATAGGCCACACCTGGCCCTCAGATTCACTTAGAAGGATATTAGACAGAAGTCAAAGTATGCCAAAGTGCTGAATCAGGTTTTTTTTCTTCAGTGGGAGAAGTTCTTGAAACAGTCTATAACTTATTCCAGGTGCTTGTTTCATCCTCTGCCCCCATCCCCCAAGTGACAGCTCAGGCACAAGGAGCTGAATTTACACCTGTGGAAGTTGTGTCCACCCTGGCTTAGAATCCCCATGCCCTCTAGGAGCTACTACCTCTTATAACAAACTGAAGGGCACAGCTTGCAGAGTCCCTGTAAAGGGCATGCTTAGTTACAAGGGTCATTGCGTTCAGAGATACCCAAACTATGGGTCCCCGTCATTTGTTATGGTTCATCGAATATTCTTCCTGATAAAGATACAAAATGCCAACCAGAAGCCATTTGTGCCACAAGCAATGTTGTCTAAAAATCCAGCTGATGTTCTTCCTCCTTCAGGTTTCCAGAAAACAACTAGAAAATTAGCGTAAGATTAAACATATCGTGGAGAAGTAGAAAGGATGTTATAAAGCATTTATCCACAAGATTCAAAATGAAATAGAGTTAATTTTGTCCGTTTTAAGAGATTATTTCAACCTTCAAATTATTTAAAAGTATATCCTATATTTTGTGTGCTTATTCAAAAATGGCATGGTAATACTTATAAAAAGACTTTAAATATTTTAAAATTACAAACTGTTTAAGTGACCTAATTAAATCAAGCACACTTTGAGTACGCACATAAGAAAAAAATTAGTTGAAGCATCCTGACTTAAGAAATCCTTGATCTTTCCTAAGGTATCTGAATACTCAATGTCAAAAACACTTACGAAGAATTAAACACTGTTGACCACAAGAGGGAAACCTAGTCCCACTTATACTACACCTTAGAAAATCAAGGGAAAAAGATGTGTCCTGAGAACCTTTGAAATAGTCAGATATAAACATAGTATACAAGAAAAAACCAACTGTCATCCCTACCCAAGGATATGTTTGTGGTTTGAGTGGTTTTAGTGTTTTGAGTGGACTGGTTCTTGGACTCCACATATTATTGGCTACAGAGCTAGAGACTTGATTTAGAAAACCACAATTGCCACTTTGTAAGTAAGCCCTTGACCAAAAGATTAGATTTCTTTAAACCCAGTTTTCTCAGGTAAAATGGAAATACAACTGTTATCTAATACATATAAGTAAACTTTAGTGTCTTAGTCATAATAGTAGTATTTTTAATTGGTAAAAAGAAACTGTACCCCAAAAGAGAATTTCAGTGAAAGCAGTAACAATCTTCCGGCATATTTCTCACCTTTCTTTCTACCTTAAAGGTTCAAAATTCATAAGTAATCTCAGAAACCTAAACTAGTTTATTCTCTATTCTCACTATTGGTTTTTAAAAAACATTTTGCAGCATGGACCACTGCTCATGTACAGATGCTCTTCAACTTAACAATAGAGTTATGTCCCAATAAACCCATTATAACTTGAAAATATCTTAAGCTAAAAATGCATTTAATACACCAATAAACCCACCATAAAGTTGAACAATCATAAGCCAAATTATCGTAAGTCAGAGACCATCTGTATTAGCTTAAGTCTTGGGGGATGGGTTTTTTTTTTAAGGTGCCATTTAGCCACTCATATTCTCTTCCATTTTATTGTAAGAACTAATTCCCCTCTTACATTCTGTGCTTGACCCATGATATACTCAGGGTGAACAAGAGCTATCTTCTTCTCATGACTTCTATTTTTTTGTGAAAATTTCCTTCATTCATTCACGACATTTGGATTTGAAATCTTACCTACTTAAGTACTTTAAAAATCATTTTCTACTACCTTTCTTATCAGAAGGCTCTAGTGATTCATTCTTCACACTTCTAACTTCTCATCTTCACCCTCCTTGTCTTCCTCCTAACTTCGCTACAGTAAATGTTTTACATGTTTGGAACCCAGCTCCTTTACTATGATTGCTGACCGTGTACATGAAATAAACCATCTTCTAGTTTTTTGTTTCTTACTCTCAATTATACCATTTAGAAAAGAATTAAAAGTAGAAAAAGACTGCTACACAGACATTCTTACGATATTCAGAAATGAGCAGAGATCATGCTTAATGAAAAAAATTTCCAAATAATGCTGCATATGTCCGGAGAAAAGGTGGCAGAAACGACTGTCATCTGGGGGAACTATGGTCTGGACATGGCCAGTTCTCAGAACTCCAGTCCCTAAATTCCCTTCTAACTAAAGGAAAAGCCTCTTAAGGTTCTTATAGGAATCCTGCCACTTTCACCTGAAAGAATAATCTTCAGTTGTGTGGCACATGGCCAAGAGTATAAGTCTTTAGTCACTTGGAGGTACACAGGCACTGTAATGCTGAATAATTGGACAGAATGTTGAACTTACTGAGGCCTCAAATATCAACTTTCCTTTGGGAAAAAGAGCAGGATCCTTAAAAGTGGTTGAAAGTAATTCAGATTTATTCCTTAACAGAGTGATGCTTAATTTAACAAAAAGCATGTTATATGCATACTCTTCTCCATTATCTTGTAAGAAAACTGGACTAGGAAACACAGCTTAAATGGCCAGTTCTGCCTCCATTTCCTAAACTGTGTTATAATTATGTCTATGTGACCAGTAACAGGCAATGACCATGATTTGTACTTTTTCATATGTTTGTTGTTTTGTTTTTAATGTTTGTGGTCTTTCTTCAGTATCAGCTAAGAGGCCATTGACACAGATATCTATTTATGGACATGTGAGACTGTTCTTCACCTCTTTTGCAGAATTCATAAAGAAATGATGGGGAAAACACTTCAATGATAGAGTGGATAAAGAAATGTGGCACATATACGCCATGGAATACTATGCAGCAATGAAAAAGAACGAGTTCATGTCCTTTGCAGGGACATGGATAAAGCTGGAAACCATCATTCTCAGCAAAATAACATGGGAACAGAAAACCAAACGCTGAATTTTCTCACTCATAAGTGGGAGTTGAACAATGAGAACACATGGATACAGGGGCCTGTTGGGGGGTGAGGGGCAAGGGGAGGGAGAGCATTAAGACAAATTCCTAGTGCTTGAGGAGCTTAAAACCTAGAAGACAGGTTAATGGGAGCAGCAAACCACCATGGCACATGTACACCTATGTAACAAACCTGCATGTTCTGCACATGTATTCCAGAAACTTAAAGTACAATAAAACAAATAAATAAATAAGGAATGATGGGAAAAACAGGTTTCTGTTATTGTCTCTCTACTGACCAAAGGGTGGTCAGAGAGTGTAGGATGAAGCAGATTTGTGATATCCTTGAATAGATCTGCTCTTTACTGTGAATTCTATCATCTACTCCCAATGTATATGGGAAAGGGACCAACTTACCTGCCTGGAATTTAGTGAAACTGTTTTCTAGGGGGACCAAGAGCTTCCTCTATTTGATATGAAGTTGGGTGGTTGAAGATGATGGAATTGGCTTCTGCTCCCATCAGAATCCTAAAGAGCGGGGTATATGGGCTAGTCGGTATTGGATCTTGAAACAGTGATGCATTGGGAATGGTCACACTCCCGGAGTTTGTGGACACAAAGGATGTTTTAGTGTTCCCTACACACCAGACATGGGCTGTGAGAGAATCTGAGGAGCCTACCAAACCTTGCACAAGAGAAAAGCTTTACTTGGAATGTCACCCAGGCTCAGAGAACACAAATATTTCATTTTCAGTAAGACATTTCCGGTCTTTTTCTCTTCCTCCCCTTCCCTGAACCTGCCCTAGATGGGCTATGGCCTCAAAGTGCCAGTAGAATGTTAGAAGGAAGGAGAACCACACTCATTCCTGACTGCAACAGTTTACACAGAGATAGAAAAAGATTTATCTCAAATCAAGTTGGGACTTTCAATTATTATATAGTACCAAACAATCTAATTGCTGAAACTAAGATATACTTGCGCAATTTAAGGGAATGGTAGAATAGCATATTAATTAGAATCGAGCAAATAATTCATGAAATATGCTATAATTCCTACCCAAGCACAGGGGAGTGGCATCTCTAATGAAATTATCTAAAGAGGCAATAGCAGACACAATGAGTTTTTGTTTGATTTAAGGATTCCATTTAGTGCTTTTCCAACCTAGCAATTACATTTGTATGCTTCAGATGTTTTAAAAAATAAACAAAAGAAAGTACCTTAAATAAAGAGTATGATCATATAGTATTTAAAGAATTAATCAGTAAATTTAAAAAGTTATATGAATTAGATTGATTGAAATTGATACTTTCCCAGTTCTCCTCCTTTAACACACATACACACACACACACACACACACACGTATGCATACAAACACATCTGAATTCTATAAAATCATTCTGACCTTGATGAGATTCCATAGTTTACTCATGAAACAGAACATCATGTTTAAATGAAGTTTCTGGACTGTGTTTTACATGGATGGTTGAGTAAAATCATTCCCTATTCCTGGAAGAATAGCTAAAAAAGGATTCACAGGTGAGAGGATGCATTTTTTTCAGAAGATGAGAAGATGAGAGCATCAGAATGTCCTATATCCTAATTCTCTGTGCTGGCTTTGGAGTGGCCAAGATGATAGAAATGGAAGGAACTCTGAAAACAAATTGCCAGAATTTCTAAGGAACAGGAGGTGCTGAGTGAGTGAATCAAGCCACGGACTGGCCATATGCGGGCAGCTATTAGAGGCAACCACCCTGAGGCTTCTTTGGTGATTGGTCAAGCTAATCTTTTCCTTCAGACTCTCCCAATTATAAGGCTTAGCTTGTGCCATTTAGAACAGACAAGAACACAGAGAATTATAGAACAATCTGACTATAGGTGCTCAAGTTATAGCAATGAAACTTGTAGTTGGCCGGCAGGAAAATATTCTGAGATGTGGATTTGAAATTTCTAAACATGTGCACGTACACACACACACACACACACACACACACACACACACCCCTACCTGCATTTTCTAATTTACAAAGACTACTCAAATAAAGCGGGGTAATTTCATACCCCAGGAGGTCTGTATGAAGATAACTCTGGTCTTTAAAGCATCAGGTTTCAGGTAAAAGTGAAGAGAGAATGAATCAAACTCAAACTGCCATCCTCCCAGGTTAAAGATGAATCCAGTCATCATGGAGCCCTCTGTTAACACAGGACATTCTAGGAAGGCCCATTAACCCATTGCCCTAGCACATTTGCTAATGTCCTAGTGCACTTGTTGATATCAACAGTTCACAGTTTTTATTCTGATAGGGATCTATTCCTGCAGACCAGCTTCTGCGACCTCTCAGGATGCGAAGTGACACAAGAAAAGTTTCTTATGTAGTGAATTGAGAAGGAAATACCTAGATCAATATTCCCTCAGCACTTCTGGCAGGAAGTCCTTAGTAGGGGAAAAACACTGTGAAGACCCTTAGTGCAGAAGGAAAAGGGGGTAGGGGGCGGTGGAAGGGAAGCTAAAAGAAGAGGCTGGAGGTTCTCAGAACTCAAACGACACAAACAAATGAAGTATTGAGGTCCCAGACTTGATCTGGGCCCAGTGTGAAAGCCCTAACCTATTTCTCCAGAAGAATGTGTCCTCTGGATTTAGACTTGGCACTGTGGGGAGAACCAGAGTGATCTGTGGTGGATATACACACAAACACAGACACACATATGTGCATTTAGTAATTTTTGTAAAATTTCCATTTGCTTCTCTGGTCCTGTCCATATCTTAAGGAATAGAAGTAAGAATATGACTTCTCCCAGGTTTGCTCTGCCCCAGGTTTCTGAATGTGGAATACATTTCTCCAGTGAAACTCAGTATTATGAGATTTGGGAGGGGGAAGTTAGGCCTCAGCCATCTCAGGGACAGGCTTCACAGATATGAGTTTTGGCAGCAGCCTTGTATCCTAAAGACATTTACTCCTAGGGGCGCTAGAGGATCTGCAACATCAGCAAAGGCTTCCTAGGGGTTCCTGATCTTTTAAAGTTAGGGGTCTGCACTGACTTGTGCTCTTCCAGACCCCCTAACAGTTTTAAGGGCTAATTCCCTGTAGTATATTCAGTTCTGCTTAGACTGCTTACAGGGATTCCTGTTTCTTGACTGAATTCTCATGGCTGCAGTGGCTCCTCCCCGTTTAATATCACCAAGAAGTCCTCATTCAGGTGCCTTTGGAAATTCCCTCAAACACACAGGAAATTAGAGTTTGAAAGAAAACGGAGAACCATGAGCACCGTCCAAATAGGAACTTCTCTCCTATCATAGAGAAAGGGAACTGAAAGTCATTTCTCAAGTCTCCCAAATTTGGTAATCTCACAAGAAGAACCAATCAGTGTTTTAGGACTAAACAGTGTCATAAGTTGCTGAGCAACAACTTGGGTTGAAGATGCTGTCATGATAGATGAAATGTCTTTGAGTTTACCATGTTTTTCTTAAGCACCATTTAAGAACGAGGCATTATGGCAGCCAGCAAAGGGCAGACATAGAAAATTATACATGGTTTTGCCTCTAAAAGAGGAGATGACAAGCTTAAATCATAGGATCAGACTCTCAGCACAGACTGATACCGTAGGCTATCATCTGGCCCATTCTCCTGACTGTTTACCTTTCAGGAAAGGTATTCCTGAAAAATTGCAGGAGACACCATGCTGTGGGTCTCTTTCTAGTGATCTAGGAGTTAATGTCACAGTGTGTTCAGAGCCCTTCGATGTGATCAGATAATCAGTAAAGTGTAGAATATTTGTGTTCATAACTTGTGAGAACGGCTGCATGGCAGGATAAGACCTCAGCACAACAGTGTGGAAAATCCACCCTAAGCAGACGTGTCATGACTGATGTTGAACAGTGGACTCACCATCCGATAGGCTCCCTCACTGCCAGGTCACTCTTCATGGAAGTATTTGTATTCCAGTCCTTTCTATGGAAAGAACCTAACATTTTCCTTTTCAGAACACTGTATTTTCGGAAACATGAGGGTCAAAGTCTCTTAATTTTCAGGACTGTCTATGTTGAACATCAAAATATATTCTTTAGAGCAGATCTTTAATAATCATATGACAAGAGAAAAACTTTCATAATCTTGTGACATAAGAGAAGGAATATTAAAGTCCTTCTGTGGGTTATTATCTCTAATGTTCCCAATAGAATAGGCTTTGCCAGCCAGGTGCGGTGGCTCATGCTTGTAATCCCAGTACTTTGCGAGGCCAAGGCAGGCAAATCACAAGGTCAGGAGTTTGAGACCAGCCTGACCAACATGGTGAAACCCTGTCTCTACTAAAAATACAAAAATTAGCCGGGCGTGGTGGTTGGCGCCTGTAATCCCAGCTACTCAGGAGGCTGAGGCAGGAGAATTGCTTGAACCCAGGAGGTGGAAATTGCAATGAGCTGAGATCACGCCACTGCACTCCAACCTGGGCAACAGAGCAAGACTCTGTCTAAAAAAAAAAAAAGAATAGGCTTTGCCCACTATACTCTCTCATATTCATTGACCTGAATCCTCAAATGAGGTGTGTCCATTAGTCAACTCCAATCTCTTGTCGTATGTAAGATGGCAGAGATGAGAAGAAGGTAGCTCCTTTACAGCCCACTATTTCCACTAACTACTTCTTGTGTTTCAAGATATAGCCTTCCATCCTTCTCCAATGTGGAGACTGTTGAACCTAAGAGTTTATCCTCTGATTTTCTCTAAATGAGGCACAATGGCAGCCAACCCAAGCTCTTGGCCTGAGTTGGTCATCTTGAAGTCGATGACTCCAAGAAACATGAAAGAGCTTCTTTAGTGAAGCTGTGTCCTCAGTACTGCCAAAATTCAGACATTCTCCATGGCCTGACAATTTACCTTCTATTTGGGTAATTTATTGTCCCTTATGCCAACTCTCCAGCTGT